GGGCTGGCACCCTTTCCACCACAAGGGGGCATGATTACAGGTAACCACACACGTCACAGGAAGGGCTGTACAACAGTCATACACATCATAGGAAGGGGATGTACAATAGGCATAAGTGTGACAGGAAGGGGATGAGCTAGGGGGTGTGCACATAATAGGAAGGGAAGGGACTAGAGGTGTACATGAGACAAGAAGGGCAGACCCTAGATTCATGATGGCAGCCTAATCTTGGTCACCCTTCACCCATGAATAGGCTTGAACTCCCTGGGCTCTCCTTCAGGGAAACAATTTACTACTATCCTGATCAGAAGGGAGTGGGCCCTACTTAGGGTGGGCTAAACAGTGGTGTCTGCTTGCTCTAGATGGCTGATAACCCTTAGGAAGAAAATCCCCTGATCTACTTTTGTTGACCTCCAAGTATATATTCATTTGCCATGTGTATCAAGCAGCTAAAATTGGAGTATATTTTGGGGAGACAACTTGTGAGAAATCTTTTTGTTTCCCACACGTCGGTGCTATACTACAGCCTGACATGCTCGTCCCTTCTTTGTGACCCTTCTGTAAGGGGATGTCCAATTGTCCACAGATGGGCTTTGGGTCTCCACTCCACACTCCCCTCACTCACATTGATATGATTTTTTTGTTCTGCGTCTTTGATGCCTGATACCTGATCGCATCGACACCTCATGATCACACAGGCTGGTGTGCTTCTTCCATGTGGACATTGTTGCTTCTCAGGTAGTTAGCCTCTTGTTTATCACCAAGCCTTTAAGACCCCAGACACTATATTTTTTGATAGCCAGGCACCATCAGCTTTCTTCACCACATTTGCTTATGCAGCCACTTTGTCTTCAGCAATCTTGTCGGGAAGCTGAGCATCAAGGAATGCCAGGTTATTAGAACAAAGTGTTCTTGCGTTGAGGGTATACTTGAGCAGAGGCCCAATGTCCATCTGCTACCATAATACTTAACACATAAATATATATATACATAGATCTATTTCCCCATTGTTATATATAAATATATTGACATCTGTACATGCCTGTATTTAGACCTCTTTAAATTACCATTTGCCTCCGAGTTCTTTCCTCTATTTCCCTTTACTTTTCTCTTGTTCCACTCTCACGTTCACCCTTCATTTGGGTTTAAGTAGTTCCTGTCAGTTACATTGCCCTTAATCAAGCACTATCAGGCATCCTACATCCTCCTTGCCATTTATTTTAGATCACTGGTTGTTCCCTTGCCCCTGGGTTTGTTGGTAACCCCCCTTCTTCCCCCCCCCACCTCTCCCATGTCCCCCTTGAACTGTTCGTCCCATTGTTTTCTCCTTCAGATTGGTTATCCCGCCTGTCTTATCTAGATAGACCTGCAGAGACAGAACAGAAAAACAAGACAGAACAAAACAAAACAACAACAAACCCAAGGACAAAAATAAAATAAAACGAGTCTATAAATAATTCCAAATATGTTGACCTTTAGGAGTGTTTTACAGTCCAGTCTGATGGGGGGTCATGCCCTGGCCCCAAATTCTATTTTTGGGATTCCTCAGGGACTTCATTGCTTTGCTCCCCTTGCTGCTCTGTTGCCCGCCCTTATGGAAAGCAGCCCAGGTGAACAGCTTAACTTTTAACCCACTATGCCACCAGGGCTCCTTCTTTTAAGAACTGGTTTCCCTTAAAAATGAGCCTTACATCCCTGGGGAAGGGAACCCTCTTCAGAAGGATGGTGAGAACAATCGCAGAGTCAGGAGGATGTCGGCACCGTCACCAGGAGTAGAAATGACTGAAACCCAGTAAGTGTCGTTGTGTCTGTTCTCAAAAGTGACAACACAATCAGTCAGGTCCATGTAACAATGCTAAGTTAGGAAATCCAGAAAGTGGGACTTCCAAGGGAGGGAGGGATTGAGTGAACTTCTTGCCCCCTCCCCCCAGAGTCTCTCAGATACTGTGAACTGCAACATGATGTCCGTGGTCCAGGTGAGGCCCAGCGACGATGGGTGGGGTTGTGAACACCCTGAGCATCCAGGGGGGCTCCCGGAACACCCTGCACTAGAGGGGTGGGGCAGGATCTCCTGGGAGGGAACAGGGTGAGGGCACTGGAAAGGGGAAGACACCCCCTCCCCCTCTTTTCCTCAGATGACCAGAATCGTGCTGCCCCAGATGGTCTCCAGGTAGGAGCCGGCCACGTCCTGTGCCCACCTCCAGACTGTTTCCATTCTCCAGCTCCCCGCCCACGTCTCCACCCCTCCCTCCCACGGGTCCCAGTCAAAGAGCTCTGCCCGAGGAGTGGGGGTGGGAAAGCCCCTGTCCCCTGCCCTCTGCCTGCCTGTCACTCCTCCCCAGAGAATGCTCTCTCCTCCAGGCACAGGGGGATCATCATCAATGTGTCTTCTATGACCGAAAACCACCCCTGGCCATTCTTTGCCGTCTACCCAGCCACGAAGGTACCCAGAGCCCACACACCCAGTCCAGGGCTCTGCTGTCCACACCCAAATGCTCCCATTATCACCTCACCCAGGCCTTGAGGTTAGGCTGAAAACATCTTCAAAAGGGAGGGGTAGGTGGGCCTTGACTCCAGGGTTATTTGTCCAGACGAAAACATACTGTCAGGGATGGATTCTGACCCACAGCCACCCTACAGTACAGAGACCTGCCCCTGAGGGTTTCTGAGACTGTCACTCTAGAAAGGAGCAGACAACTCTATGTCTCCCAAGGAGCAGCTGGTTGGTGGCCTTGAACTGATGGCCTTGTGGTTAGCAGTCCAGTTACTTTAAGCGAAACAGGGGCTGGGAGTCAAGAGGACAGAGTAGCTCCAGGGAGCCCCTGGAGAGTGGACGTAACCCAGGGCTGAAGAGACACGAGACAGGTGTGGCTGGGAAGGGCGTGGGCCTGTGGGAGCAGGGGAGGGGTCACCACCTGCAGACATTCTGGTGTCCCCGTGACAGGGTGGCCAGGACCCTGGGGCTTCCTGACTTTCTGAGAGTTCTGAAAAGGGATAAAGTGGGGTGGGGGGGCTTTATGTTCTGGGACCCTCCCTCTCTCTTCCTCCTCCGCAGGCCTTTGTGCAAAGATTCTCCACTGCAGTGGGCGCTGAGTATCTCTCTGAAGGTGTCACCATACAGGTGTGGGCGGGGCCTCTGGTGGGCAGAGAGTGGGAGGGCGTGGTCTCAGGCAGGGGTGGGACTCAGGGCAAGAAATTCAGAGACCCTGGTTGGAGGGCTGCCAGTGGGAGAGATGCTTCCAGTGGGGCGGGGCTCAGCAGGGGAGGGGAGGGGAGGGGGCTTTTCTTGACGCCTCCCCCTTCGTGCAGACAGTGAGCCCAGGTGTGGTCTCCACAAAACTGGCTGATCACCCCAAACCCGGATTGCTGGTGAAAGATCCCCAAGATTGGGCTGAGCAGGCGGTGCACACCCTCGGCCTCTCCTCACACGCCTCTGGGTGCCTCAGCCACGAGGTGCAGGTGTGTCCCTGGCTGCAGGGCTGGGGCGCTAAGTTCTCTGTCCTTGGGGGTGGGGGTGGAACAAGCCCCCGCCCTGCGCTGGGCAGGGAGGGGCGAGCTGAGATGCCTAAGAGGGAGGCGGGTCCTGATCCCTGTCCCTTCTCCTTCCTAGACCTTCCTGATGGGTCTCCTGCCCTCCTGGATGTTTGCCACTCGCTGGGCAACAGAACTGTTGAAACTTCTGGCATCTTCCAAGGAAAAAGCCTAGGACAAGGGGTGACGTAGGCGTGGGGGCTGGTCTGCCCGCTCCTGTTTTCAATATCGTGGGCCAGGACTGCGGATTTTGGAATCAATGTGCAGACCGGCCAGTGCAGGAGAACTGGATGCCGGTAATTGACGTTTAGACCTTTGCAGGGAACAACGGGTGTTTCTAACACGTGACGCCAAAACAAGGACATAGCTCTTTGGAGGTGGGGATGTATGTAGCTGGAGCTATTTACACACACAACTTTATGATCATAATAAAAAGCCACTGGTGTGTACCCCTGCAAAGGGTAACTGTAGAGCCTGCGAGTTATTTCCTCAATAAAAACAATTTTAAAATAAGAAATGCCCAGCAGCATAAAATTGAAACTAAGGATGCAATCCATTCATATGGCCATTATGCGATGGATTATTATTCTGGACGCTACCCCTGTGGTTATAATCCCATTTTGCCAAGCGCTGTCTCCTATGCTGCTGGACAGGATTAAGACGGGCTTTGGACTTGACCATAGTAGAGGCTGTGAACCATTTCACACACTTTGTTTCCTTGGGCATGCTGTCTGCTGAAAGATAAAATGATCCTCCATCAAAGCCAGTGCTCTGTGGGTAAGAGCCATCTCAGGCACAGAGAGAAACCCCAGCTCTATTGGATGAACAACTGGGTCAAGATCGCTGTCTGAAGTGTCAGAGGCCGAGAACAGAGGCACACGAGGCGGAGGCAAGGGGACAGAGGAGAGAAGCAAGGCCAAGACGATGAGACAGCAGCGGCGGAACAGGGGCCTGGTTTCTGGCCCACTTGGTCACAGGTAAAAGGACCATGTGGCTGAGGAGCCACAAACCAGAAAGTGACTTGGCAGTTGACTTAGGAAAGGCGTTTCCCAAGGCCAATGACTGTCCTTACTGTCCACTACTCCTGACCTGTGGTCACCTGCCAACTTCCCGACTAAACATGTCTGTGGGGTTTGTGTGGCCATTTCAATGAATTTTCACACGGGTATAGAAGGAGGTGGGAGGTGGGGGCATGTCTGACCTCTGCCTATGGCAATAAGGAAGAGAGAGGTCAAATGTAGGCACTCTATGCTGCTTGCGGAAAAACCATTCCTCACCCCATACGCCAACTTACAACTCCAAAGGGATCAGAAATTCCTGTGTAATTAAAGAGACACACAAGGAGAGATAATGAGGTGGGGGAATTCCTTTCACAGCTGAATCAGTTCAAGGGGGTGCTTGCACAGTCGAGGGGTACATTAAAGAGACATCAGACAAGACCAAGCATGCCAGGGCTCACCTCTTCCAAAGGAGCCGGGAACCAGAATGAGGCGGTAGTGTATTCTCTTAGGAGCTTATCGAATCTGGGGTGTGCAAGTCACAGTAAGTTCATACATAACAGGAAGGGGTGGTATTAGAGGCATACATTGAAACATGAGAGGGACGAGCTAAGGGTGTACATGCAATAGGAAGGGGAGGTACCAGGGACACACACATGTGACAGGAAGGCACGTATGTAACAAGATGGGCAGGGTCCAGACTTCAGATGGTGGCCGGACTTTGGTCATCTCTGAGTTGGCAGCCTTTCGGTTCCACTGAGCTCTTCTTCAGGGAAGCACTCGATGATCCCGATCCGAAGGGAGTTGGACCACTTAGGATTAGAGGGGCTGACTGTGTTTGAGGGCTGAAAACCATCAGCAAAGAGCCTTCAAGCAGTTGACCTTCAAGTGCATATAGTAGCAGCCATGTGCTTGCAAGCAGCACCTTAAAACTGGCATTATTCTGGGGGGACACCCTGGGGAATCACTTTGACTTGGGAGAAGGTGACTGAAACGCATCTCCAACCTGTGAATGTGAAGCTCTCGCTCCACGGGAGGCCCGGTCTCCCAGACTCCTTAACATAGGAGAGGAGAGAATTTGTCCACATACACTCTCTTCCCTCCCAGTCCTGTTGCCCACACTTCCCCCTTTTGTTTGTATTTTTTAATCCCGAAGGGACACTGAGGCGACATTGACACTTTCTAAATGGCAGAAGCCTTTTGACTGTCACCACGAAAATATTGATATGGCTGTACCCGAACTTAGGCTATGAGAAATACTTTGAATCCAGGCCCAGGGAGCTAAACCCTCTGACCGACCCCCGCCTTCACACCCCAGCCCATCCACCAATTGTCTAATTGTGCCAAAGCTAGGGGATGATTGAAAATCTCTGTTTTGAGCTGTCTGATAGCTAATGGGATATTTCACTAACCTTAACTATGCAGAAGACATTGCAAATTTCCTTTTTAGCTGATTGCCATCTAGTGCGATGTTCCCCTTAAGTCCCTGCCAACGGTTTCTCATTAAAAGCCCAATCCTGTAAGGTTACATGATATGAACAAGGGGTTACATAAAACCTGCAATGTTTAGCAACACATGACATTGAAAGTCCATCTCTGGTCTTCCAGTGAGTGAGCAGCCGGTTGTCTCGGTCCAACCATCTTTGTCTACAAAGGCCCCGTTACGATAGAGCCCACAGTGTCTCTCTGGCAACCTCAGCACTGGTCGGCGTGATGATGAGAACCGGGAAGGCAACCATTGCCGCTCTCACGAATCCGCGAGGCCGTCTTCATGGTTCCAGAACTTCAGCACCAGGGCCGCCTGCTCCTCCTCCCTGACACACGGACACCTGGTCCTTCCTCCCCGGGCCTGGCCGGACTTGCTGCCAGGGGGATCCACGTACTCTATCCCTCAATCCCTCACCTGAGAAGACACAGGGCGGAGAGCCCCTCCCAAGGCGGCTAGCAAACCCAGATCCCAGACACCCTTGTTGACTTTCTACCAGGTCTTCTCTGGATCCACTTTCTCCTGAAGGATACACACGTGCTTATCCCTCCTAATGATAGAAGCTTTGGGGAAAGAACGTGTTTTGAGTTCATAAAGTTTAAACGAAGCTTGGCATGTACAGAATCGCCCTTTGTCTCCCCCCTTCTGTTTAATAATTGGGATTTTAGAGTGGCACGCGCCTGTTCCACATTTCAAAGGTTCTGCCAATTCCTGGAATACTGCTTTTCCCAACCTTGTGTGATAGGTCCTATCAAATCCGCCCACTCGGGGAGGAAGGTTGAGTACAGTGACCCAGATAAGGGGGGCCTTGCAGAGTGACCCCTCTGGACCTTGCCCTGAGCCCTGGTGCTGTGGCTTAGCTCCCTCAGGGTTTAGTGACACCAAGATGGGAGCTGGGCAGGGCGTGGCTTGCAGAAAGCATGAGGCGTTCATGTAGGCGGGCTACTGAGAGCTGATAGCAAACTAAGTCCTCAGAAACTCACTGCCCTGATGGAATCTGACCTGTAGGACCGACTTTCCATTAGATTGCGGCTCTGGTGGCCACAGCAGCTGCGATGTGGGACCCACTGAGCGCACTGGGTGCTCTCACAGCTGCGTGGCTTCTGCTGGGGGCAGCGTGGAGAGTGGGCTGCGTGGTCTATATCTACCTACTGCCCTGGGCTCGTCCGGGAGACCACTGGATCCGGGCCCAGGGAGCCTGGGCAGGTAGGTGAGGGTTTGGCGCTGGGAGCGTGGAGGTAGGGATGAGTCAATAGGAAAACTGGAATGGGGGCAAGGGTGGAGGAGGTGCCATGAAGCAAGAGGAATGAAGGCTGGCACACTCTCTACAAGTAGGCACCAACCCCTCTCTCCTAACCTGAACCTGGACAGGCGAGAGCAGCAGGTGTGTTGTGGTGGATCAAGCGTTGTGCTGCCCACAAAGGTGGGTTTTAACCCACTCGCTCTTCCGGGGAACAAAGCTGTGGCTGTCTGTTTCTGTACAGACTCCCACACACCCACTGCCATCCGGGTGATGACCCTATAGGACAGCGTAGACTGGCTCCTGAGGGTTTCTGAGACTGGACATCCTTAGGGGAGCCCTCCTACAGCCCTCATTTTTCTTCCCCCGAGTAAGCTGGTGGGTTTGAACTGCTGACCTTGCTGTTAACAACCCATGTGGCCGCCGGCTTATTCTGTAAAGATTTCCAGTCTCCAAGCCAGACCTACTGGTACTGAGTTGATTGTGTCTCCTAGCAGCGGTAGATGGGGTTTCTGAGACTATAAGTCTTTTGCAGGAGCAGGGAGCCTACTCATGGAGAGAGGTTGGTGTGTTTGAACCACCGCCTTTGAGGTTAGCAGCCCAAAGCTTACAGAGAGCAACAGCAGCCCAAGCTTACAGCCATGGAAAGCCTTGAGAGCATCCCATGGGATTGCGGAGTCTGAATGGAAATGACCCCACAGCAAATCTGTCCAAACCAAACTCCCCAGCAGGAGGCGCTCCTGCCTCACAGTCACTCTATGGGGCAGAACAGCACTGCTTCTGTGGGGCTTCCCAGGCTGGAAGCTGACCATTCTCCCCCAGGAGCAAGTGCTGGGTTTGACGTGCCCATCTTCAGGTTAAGGGTCCAAATTGTTACTCAATGTGCCACTAGGACTCCGAGCGTTGATTTTAGGTTTTTAGAGCTGTGTGGGAAATAAGGGTTGAGGTGCTGAGGAAGCTGGGAATAAGGAGGGGCAGGTGGGCCTGGGGAGCTGGCAGGGAAAACTCTGGGGTGAGCTGAGCTGCACCCCCCTCCGCCCCCCGCTGTTGGAGCAGCCCGAGCTGGTGTCCCTGGGACCCACGCTTCCTTCTCTCCGCAGTGGTGACAGGAGCCACGGATGGCATTGGCAGGGCCTACGCGCACCAGGTGAGCTGTGATTGGCGCGGGGCTGGGAGGGGCGGGAGCTCCTGGGCTCCAGCAGCCACGCCCACTAGAGGGAGCCTTTGTAAGGCAGCACACCTGCCTCTCAGGACCACCTGCTCCTGCAAGCCTCCTCTCTGCCCCCCTCTGCTGGGGGCGGGTGCTTCCACTGCCCCTGTGACTTCACGCTGCACACTGCTGTCCTCGATCCTCACCCTCATTCGCGTTTCACGTCCTCCTAATTCTCAGCAGGCAAGCCCGTGTCACCTGCTCATCTCGGGTTATTACTGATGCTGCATTCCTCCTATTTGTTTGACATGAACTTGTACGTCACGAAAGAATCCAAGTTCAAAACCCATCTGCAGAGCATCTAGTCAGAGGAAGCCGCTGGCAGAGCCCCTCCAGCCACGAGCCAGGGTCCCCAACAGCCTTACTCTCGGACAGGGATCACTGTAATCTCGCTTCTGCTGGACCGGCCTAGGTACTTAGTCAGTTGACCTCCGTCTTGCCCCAACCTGAAATTGTTCTAGGTGCAAGTATCTCTAGCTTGTTCTATGACCAAAAAAAAAAAAAATCTTCCTTAGCATTTTAAATATTGATGATGGAATTTTTAAACTTACTCTTTATAATTTTATCTTGATATTATTATGATTTTATTCATACCTCTTTATTTCGTTTTTGTTTTCTAATGTTTCTGTTGGGTTTCCCAGTTTGTGACGCACAGAAGGAGTGGAGGCATAGACATATTAACTGAAGCAATGGTTTCTGGGGGGGGGGGGGGGGGAGATGGGGAGAGGGAGGGGATTTCAGGAGTAAACAATGAATTCCCGAATACTAGAACTGATTGGGATCACACAACTCATTTTAAAGGCGACTTGACCATGAAGAAAAGAAAGAAAATGTTCTAAGGTTGATTGTAGTAGTGATTGTACAATTCTTCTTGATATGATTGAGCTATTGAATCATATGATATGTGGATTCTCTGCCAATACAACTGTAAAAAAAGAACACAGGTCCGCTCCAGCTTACTTCTCCCCCTTTCACAGCCACGCAGACCAATAATTAGGCCTGAGAGGTAAGGACGGGGGAGGCTTTAAGCCTGTGAGCATTCACTCCTTTTTTTTTCTTAAGAACAAAAATGTATTTACTACTCTGGTTTTTTAATAAAATATATTCTTTGTAGTTGTACAGCCTACCGCATCAAATCAAATCAGCAATCAGATTGCTTCAAAACACCCATAATGTGAGGCGTTTTTCCATCCTCCACTCTTCTTCCCTCCCTCCATCCTTCCCTCCCTCCATCCTTCCCTCCCTCCATTCTCTTCGGTGGTTATGAATTGGGTGGAACCTGCCTAGATGGTCCCAGGAGCCCAGGTGACACAGTGGGTTGTGTTGGGCTGCGAACCACCGGAGCAGCAGTTGTAACCCACCATACACCACCGCCCACCCTAGAGAACACCCTTAAAGATGTCCAGCCTTGGAGACCCCCAAAGGTACAGCTCTACACTTTCCAATGGGCCCTCTCAATGGAGTCCACTCTATGGCCCGGTTTGAGTGGAGGGCCCCTGGGTGGTGTAAAAGGTTAAGAGCTGAGCTATTACTCGGAAGGTGGGCTGTTGGAACCCACCTGACAGGGGCCAGTTCTGAGGCGTCTGGCAAGAAAATGGTGGCAGACTTCATCTAAAGATCAAAGTCATGAAAACCTCATGGAGTGGAACAGAGTGGAGTGGAGGAGAGTGATGAAGACGTTGAAGAATTCTACCGACATCTTCAGTCAGAACTGTACACATTCTGCATGAGCACAATGACGTGTTTTTGGGATTCCCATTCTTTTTCAAGGCTAACCATTGCTAGGTTCAGCAGATTGTATGCCTTGGCGTAGTCAATAAAATGCTGTCAAACATCTTTCTGATATTCTCTGCTTTCCGTCATGACCCATCTGACATCAGCAATGGTATTCCTTGTGCCAAGTCCTCTTCTGAATCGGGCCTGAGCCTCTGCAAGCTCTGGTCAACGTACTGCTGATGCAGTTATTGGATGATCTTCAGCAAAAGTTTACTTGCATATGAATCAATTACACTGTTCTATAATTTGGACATCCTGTCGGGTCACTCTTTTTTAGTGGCTACTCTGGTAGTTACATAATCACGCATCAGCTTGAGGGTATTAAGAGTGAATGGGGTGGAGTCTAGTCTGTCAATCGGGTCACATCCTGATATAGCCTCCTTGTGGGCCTGGCCTTCTCATGAGGATTCTGGGCATCTCCCCTCTCTCTGCTTCACTTCCTTGTAGAAGAGCCACACTCAGAACGCTGGAGGAGCCACCTGGAGACCTGTGCCAACGCTGAGATATTTCCATCACCACTGGATCCACAAGACTTTCCACCCACTGGCCTGTGATCTTTCTGCATTAGGCATCATTGCATGTGTTGCATGACTCTGAAGAGGAATTTGTAGGCTGGTACGACACATGGGCTAATAACAGACGTATGGACTTGATCTGGACTGGGATTGAATATTTTCTTAATATACAATTACTCTTTAATATAAAGCCCTCTCTTACATATATATGAGTGACTCTGGATTTGTTTCTCCAGTCTACCCACACTAACACAATCATAGAGTGGTTAAGACAAGTGGGAGAAATGATAAAATTGAAGAGCTGAGCAGAACATTTCAAAGGGCAGCTCGAGAAGACTAAGTCAAATTTTATGATGAAATGTGAAAAGACAGAAAAACCAGTTAGAAAACCAGAAAGAAAGAGCCTGTTCAGCTGATCTTAAATGGAGAGAACTAAAGAAATATTTCGAACCTCAAGTGGCAACATTGAAATGCTCCATGGGCAGAAGTATTGACCAATGCAAGCAGCACTAAAAGAAAACGGAAATAACACACAGGGTCACTGTACCAAACAGAACTCGTCAACATCCCACGTTTCAGGAGCTAGCACGTGAGCTAGAAGCAATGGTGCTGAAAGGAGTTCGCGTGGCACTGAAAGAAACAACCAATCACCAGACTCCAGGAGCTGCTGGAACACACATTACAATGTTTCAACATGCGGATGGAAGAGCAGGAAGCATCGATTGGTCATTTGGAAGGCAGTTTCTTGGCCAACTGACCGGAGGCATTCGTATTTGGACCCATTCCAAAGAAATCCACCCAACACGGCTCAGATTATTGGTCGGCACCACAGGTATCACATGCACGTCCGTCCGTGTTTGCTGAGATCTCTCAACAACTGCTGTGGCAGCACGTTCTCAGAGAGCCAGTCAAGGGTCAGGCTGGGGTCAGAAGAAGGCTTGGAATAAGAAATAGCATTGCTTACCTTAGGTGGATTTTGGCTGAAGCCAAGAATATCAGAACGATGTTTGCTTGTGTTTTATGGACTAGGCCAATGCCTTCTACTGTGTGGATCCCAACCAACTCCGATAGCCTCGAGAAGAGCGAGGATCCTCCCAAAACACTACATTGTGTTCCTTCCGAACCTGAACGCAGATCCAGAGGCCGTTGTGCAAACAACGGCATATTGCTCAGTTGAGAATCAGCAAGGGTGCGTTTCAGGGTCATATCCTGTCACCATCCTTATCCCGTCTGTATACTGAGCAAATCATCAGAGAAGCCACATTATGTGAACAAGCATGTGTCACCAGGACTGGAGGAAGGATTAACGGCCTTTGATATGCAGATGACACAACCCTGCTTGCTGAAAAGGAGGAGGACTTGAAGTTTTTGCGGGTGAAGATCAAGGACTGCAGTGGATCATCTGGATTGCAACTCGGGGTGATAGCAGAATACCTATCCACATGCAAGGAAATCCAGCCGATGCAACTGGAGAAGCAGCCATGAAGGGACATCTGACCTCCCCTGGCTTCCTTACTGCCACGAGGCTCCATGAGGGTCACACAGCCTCCATGGTCCATCTTCCTTTATCTGTTCTGACACCAGCCCTTCCACCTACACCACTCGCCCCCTCTGCTGGGTTCGAGAATCCCCTGCAATGGCCACACAGATGTCGCAGACCATGCTCACAACAAGGGGGGCTATTGGGGAATTGAACAGGTCACAGCAAGCCAGGCTCGGCAGGCAGTAAGGATGCCGTCATTGGGCTCCTAGGCCAGTAACCAAGCGCTGTCTGGTTCTCCGCCTCTCGGCCACGTGGTAGCCAAGTCTGCCTGTGGTTCTTAGTCTCGCCGTCACGTGGTCCCTTGGCCTTTCCTCCATGAGCCAGAGAGCCAGTTTGCTTACTAATGTGTCTCACAGTCCATAGTCTCAGGCACATGAGGAGAAGGTGCCCGTAGACTCCTTGCTGCGCTGAGTCTCTGCAACACGGTCCCAGGGTATCTGGTCTCAGCAGCGTCTGTGGATTCGGACAGAGACCTTGAAGGTGCTTTTCTAAGGTCCTGGAGGTTCTGGTATCTCTGCTATTCTTTCAAAGAATGGCTCATCCTTATAGATAGAGAAGCAGTCCTGAAATTGACCAGCCCCCACTATTCGTGGTACACACATCCTATTGGCATAGCCTGGCCCCACCAATCCCGTGGCGGCAATTATAGAGACGTGGGTAGAACAATTCGATTATGAAATCCCGCTCCACCACAACCTTTATTCGAATTTATGCACCAACCACTGAAGCTCTCAAAAACTCACTGCCTTGAAGTGGATGTTGACTCCCCGCAACCCCATAGGACAGGACGGGACTGCTCCTGGTGAGTTTCTGCGACTAGCTCTGCACAGGAGTAGAAACCCTTGTCTGTGTGCTGCGGTCCGGCTGGTGGTTTCAACCTTGAACTTAGCAGCCCAACTCCCAGCCACTATCCCACCAGGGCTCCTTCCTCTACAGCTATGGATGAGGAAATGCATTAATTTGGACGAACGTTTTCCATCTGAAATTGATCAAACACGCGCCCAAGATGCATTGGTAATAGTTAGGGATTGGAGGACAGAAAGAACAGTCGTAGGAAAGTATGGCCTTGGAAAGAGAAATACACGATGCATGCATACATCCTTCCATCATCCCCTGCAGTTTGCCAAGAAAGGTCTCAACATCGTCCTCATCAGCCGAAACGCGAACAAGTTGGAGAAGGAGGCAAAGGAGATTGGTGAGACTCAGGGCGAAGGGGATTGGGGCAGTAGTGGGGGATGGGCCAGATCTGGGCTGCATGGGCAATGAATGGGACAGGGACTGAGCAGGGTCAAGGGCTGCAGCAAGGGTGGGACCAGACACGAGCTTAGTGCCTGATTTGTTCCTCTCCCCTTCCTAGAGCGGCTTCATGGTACCGACACGCGTGTCATCCAGGCTGACTTCACCGGGGGCTTGGAGATCTACGGGGCCATTGAGGAAGGGCTGAAGGGCCTGGAGATTGGAGTACTGGGTATGTCCTATGACTTGGGTGGGGTGGGGACAGAGGGGAAGCCAGCCCTCTACCACTCCCAGGCTCAGCCAGATCCTGGGTCCTCTCGCGGCCGCATTTCCTGGACTGCTGGAGTGACACACACCATGTGTTTCCTCTGGTTCAGTGAACAACGTGGGCATGGGTTACTCTAAAGGACCTGGGAAACTGCTGGACTGTAAGAACTCAGCACAGGTGAGTGACACCTGGCCCTGGCTCCCCAGGGGCATTTGGTCCTCCCCTCTGTTGGAAATCCTGGGCAATGCCCACTCTGTGTTAGAAGGGGTGCTTTCTACCGCAGTCTGCAGGAAGGTAGTTGTAGAAGCTCCAAGTGTATGATGCTGGAGGTGTGACTGAGGGCCCTCCGAGGGGGAAGCGCGTCGGCAGTGCGCAACCCACACCACTGTTCAGTTTGGGCCTGGTTCTGCCATTCCCATTTTAATTTCTTAACTGCAGTGAAAATACGTGTGTACGCCACAACACCTTCAATACTTCGACTTCAGTGACGTTGATCACATTCTCGGGTCGTGGGAATCCTTTGCAAATTATTCTATCACTATTCACATCAACTCATTGCCCACTCACGATTCTGCCCTTTTTTATTCCGCTCTATGAATGTGGGCGAGAAGTTCACTCAATCACTCCCTCCCTTTGAAACACCCCTACACCCCACACCCCCACCTTTCAGGATTTCCTAATTTAGCATTGTTGGTCCCTCAACTCATCACTGCCCTCTGTTGGAAAGTGGGCGCAATACCCTGGCTTTGTTAGGACCCTGTTCTCTACCACTGTCTGCAGGAGGCTGTTGTAGAAGCTCCAAGTCTCTGATGAGCCCTGTGAAGGGGGTGTGCTTCTGCAGTGTGCGACTAGGACCGCTGCTCAAGTCGGGCCTCCTTGTACCCTATTAGTTTGTATCTTTTGTAGTTGCAGTAAAAATATGAGTATATACAACAAAGACCTCACCACCTCAGCGGGCATTTCCACATGTTCAATTCAGTGACAGTGACCACATTTCACACTCTAGGAACCCTTTCTCAAATCATTCTACTCCTGGTCAAATCCACTAAACGGCCACTGATGCTTCTGCCCTTTCAGATTCCAGGAATATAAATGTATATGTGAATAGCGAGACCTGGTGGCACGTTGGGGAAAGCACGGGGCTGCTAACCATAAGTTCAGGGGTTCAACCCCACCAGCAGCTCCGCGGGAGAAAGATGAGGCTGTCTACTCCCATAAAGATGAACAGCCTCAGAACCCTTCCCTGAGGTCGCTATGAAGCAGAACAGATGGCAGTGGGTGTGAGTGGGAATTGACGGGAGGACAGAGATGTGGTTTACCTGCATAGGAAGGCCAGTGCAGGCCACTTAGGATGAACAGACTTACACGTATACATTTTTTTTTTGGAAAAGATTTTTTTCTAGTTGAATCTATATATGTGTGTGTGTGCACATGTATGAGCTTACATGTATGTCTACGTAACCCAACACAAAACCAACCTGCTGCTATCAGGTCTACGCCAATTCATAGGGACCCGACATCGGGTTTCTGAGCCTGAACATCTTGATGGGACCTGACAGCCTCATCTTTCTTCCTCAGAGCAGCTGCTGTCTTTGAACAACCAACCTTGCAGTTAGCTGTTCGAGTCTTACCCAATTGGGTTAGCAGGGTGCCTGCTGATATATATTAAAAAAATAATTAATTTTACAGTGGGATTACACAGGAAGATGGTAATACTAAAGGTCCATTGGAGATCAATAAAACATTATTACTTTTTTTACCTCTAGGGGGTGCCACCTTTAAGAAATTAAAACTCACTGCCATCGAGTTGGTTCCAACTCATAGCGACCCTACAGAACAGAGTAGAGCTGCCGCTGTGGGTGGATGTTGATGTCGATCTTTACAGGAGCAGAAAGCCTCAGCTTTCTCCCATGGAGGGATTTCAAACCTGTGGCTAACAGTTTTACTCTGAACCCACTATACCATAGAGCTCCTTCATGTAAGAACTGGTTTCTCTTAAAAATGAGCCTTCTATCCCTGGGGAGGGACATCTCATCAGAATGAGGGTGAGAACAATCACACAACTGGGAGAACGGTGGGCACGTCACCAGGAGTGGAAGTGTTTGAAGCCATGTATATGCTATCCTGTCTATTCTCAACAATCGCAACACAATCAGTAATGGCCATGTAACAATGCTAAGTTAGGAAATCCAGGAAGGAGGAGGAGGGTGGAGGGAGGGGGAAAAAGGAGGACCTGATGCCAGGGGCTTAAGTGGAGAGCAAATGTTTTGAGAATGATGAGGGCAACGAAGGTACAAATGTGCTTTACACAACTGATGTATGTATGGATTGTGATAAGAGTTGTATGAGCCCCTAATAAAACAATTTTTTTAAATGCACAAAAAAAAAAGAAAAAAGAAATCCGGGAGGAGGGGGACTTCAAAGGGAGGGAGTGATTGAGTGAACTTCTGCCCCCTCCCCCCAGGGACTCTCAGATACTGTGAACTGCAACATGATGTCCGTGGTCCAGGTGAGGCCCAGCGACGATGGGTGGGGCTGTGAACACCCTGAGCATCCAGGGGGGCTCCCGGAACACCCTGCACTAGAGGGGTGGGGCAGGATCTCCTGGGAGGGAACGGGGTGAGGGCACTGGAAAGGGGAAGACACCCCCTCCCCCTCTTTTCCTCAGATGACCAGAATCGTGCTGCCCCAGATGGTCTCCAGGTAGGAGCCGGCCACGTCCTGTGCCAACCTCCAGACTGTTTCCATTCTCCAGCTGCCCGCCCACGTCTCCACCCCTCCCTCCCACGGGTCCCAGTCAGAGCTCTGCCCAAGGAGTGGGGGTGGGAAAGGCCCTGTCCCCTGCCCTCTGCCTGCCTGTCACTCCTCCCCAGAGAATGCTCTCTCCTCCAGGCACAGAGGGATCATCATCAATGTCTCTTCTATGAGTGAAAACCACCCCTGGCCATTCCTTGCCACCTACTCAGCCACAAAGGTACCAGACCCTGCACACCCGCATCCAGGCCTGGGCTGTCCACACCCGCATGCTCCCAGCAGCACCTCCCTAAAGCAACTTTTGATGGAAGGCTTCAGTGTCACCTGAATCTGGGTGATTCATCGAATCATAATCACACAGTCATGGAGTCGATTCTGACCTCGAGTGGCCTTACAGGACAGAGTAGAAGCGCCCCTGTGGGTTTCCCAGACTAAGTCTCCTGGGAACAGGAAATCTTCTCTTTCGCTCCTGGTACAGCTGGAGGTTTCACACTGCCGACCTAGAGACCAGCAGCCCAGCAAGTAATCCAGAGGTGGGCAGACGTCTCAGGCACAGCCTGACGGGTAGGACGTACACAGAACGGTTTATCTTAAGAGAAACAGGCTGGGAGGCAAGAGAAGGCACCGCCCGCCACCAGCGAACCCCTGGGGTTGAAGAGACCAGGAGACAGGCCAGGCTGGGAAGGGCGTGGCCGTGGGAGCAGGGGAGGGGTCACAACCAGGAGACAATTTGGTGTCCTAGTGACCAGTGTGGCTAGGATCCCTGGGCTTCCGCACCGGTGCTCTGGAAAGGTGCTGTGGACAGTGTTGGGTGGTGGGTGGGCTTTACGTTCTGGGACCCTCCCTCTCTCTTCCTCCTCCGCAGGCCTTCGTGCAAAGATTCTCCACTGCAGTGGGCGCTGAGTATCTCTCTGAAGGTGTCACCATACAGGTGTGGGCGGGTCGGGGGCGTGGCGTCCCAGTGGGCGGGGCGCTGGAGGGGCATAGAAGCTCAGAGACCCTGGTGGGAGGGATGCGTCCAGAGGAGGGTCCAGGAGGGCGCACAGCAGCGGAGGGGAGGGGAAGGACCTTTTCTTGACCCACCTCCTTCCTGCAGACGGTGAGCCCAGGTGTGGTCTCCACAAACATGACTTATAATATCAAAACCGGATTGCTGGTGAAGGATCCCCAAGAGTGGGCTGAGCAGGCGGTGCACACCCTCGGCCTCTCCTCCCACACCCCTGGGTGCCTCAGCCACGCCGTGCAGGTGCGTCCCTGGGCTGCAGGGGTGGGTGCCGGTGTCCTGCACTTAGTCGTCTGGCTCCCAGGAGGAGAGACAAGCCTCCCACCCTGGGCTGGATAGAGAGAGGGTGCAGGCTGGGAGACCCAAGAGGGAGGGGGGTCACTGATCCCTGGTGCTTCTCTTTCCTAGACCTTCCTGATAGGTCTCCTGCCCTCCTGGTGTACCTGCAATCGCTGGACAGTCAAGTTTTGGGCTCGGCTGCATCCTAGAGCTCCTTAAGAGAGTCCCTAAGGACCAAAGTGCCTCCTTGCTTAACCCCAAACCTGCCCTATGAAGTTCGGCCCCAAAGCTGACACTGTAAAGTTCTGCACAAAGGGGAAAGAACGCGCCTTTGTCAGAAACCAGCGAACCAAGGACCCTGATGCCCACGAAGGAATCCACGACCGATGATGACCGACAATGACCAACTGGAGCTATCATGATGCTGATCAATCAAGAAGACCTGAGCCCATGTTTCCAGCCGAGAGGGGCCGGGCCCGTTCCTCCTTTCTGTACGGTGTGTAAGGCCACCCGGCCCTGAGCTCGGGGCTCATGCACGTGACAGCCTCAGCCCTGCTCATGCACTGGTCCGCCTCAGTCGGCCTGCACCCAGGCAAGAAATAAACACTGCTGTGTGCCACCCGACTGGCCTGGTGACTGAATTGAGTATCTTTTCTCCACCTTACAATATCCACCTTCCCCCCATCCCACCCCCCAAGGGAAAAGGCTAGGGGAAGGGGTGAGGTAGGCATGGGGGCTTGTCTTCCCCCTCCTCTTTCCAACATCCTCGGCCAGAGCTGTGGATTTTGGAATCTATGTGCAGGCCGACCAGTGCAGTAGAACTGGGCACCCGGAAGAGTCGTTGAGACCTCTGCGGAGAAAACCGAGTTCTTAACATACGACACGCAGAGAAGGACATGAGCATGTGAAGGAGAGATGATGTCACCATGTGTATCCACATGCAACTCGATGATTATAGGGAAAGCCACTGCTGTGCACACTTTTCAAGGGTGGACTTTAACGTCTGGGACTCATTCTCAATGAGAATACTTTAAAAACCAGAGATGCCTAGCAGTATGAAATTGAAACCTGAGATGTAGTCGGTGAACATGCCATCGCACCCATCATTCCTCGTGTGATGGATGATAACGCTGACCTCTGCGTCCGTGCCGATCATCCCAGTCTGCTGGGCGCGTCGTCTGCTGTGCCGCTCACGTGGAATTGAGTTTTGGTCTTCACGAATTCTGTGAACCGAGTCACACTGTCTGTTTCCTTGGCCGTAGGGTCTGCGGAAAGACGAAAGCACGTGTGAGCGCCATCTCAGGCACAGGGAGGAACCGCAGGTCCCTTGGAGGAGCAGCCTTTGGGGGATCATCCCTGCCACAGCATCTACTTCTCTCCTCGGTTCAATAGTCCATTGCAATGACCGCACAGAACACGCAGACGATACTCAAGATTAGGGGAGTTCATAGGGGAAGTGGACAGGTTGCCATCAGCAAGGATCAGCACACTTAAGGATGCAGTTTTTGTCCAGACCAGCACCTGCCCTCGGCCAACAGCCAAGTCTCTGGTCCTCAGTCTCAGCTCTGGGGTCCTGGGCCTCGATCTTTTCCCACAGGCCGGGAAGCCCATGACTCTGCCTCCGAGTTCTCAGCGGCTCTTCTCTTCTGTCTTGGTCTCTCCGGCTCGGGGCAGCCCCTTCTTCCTCCCCAAAGGCAGGCAGAGATCTTCCCGTGGCTCCACGTGTGGCTCTCCTTGTTGGATCTTGGAATGCCTCTTTCCCTGCTTTGGAGATGGCTCTCATGCCCAGAAGAATGACAAAACGGACCGATCCCCCAGTCCGAGTCTTCCACACCTTATTACAGTGAGGGTGGCCCGGGACAGGGCAGTGTCCTTTCGGTTGTGCATAGGGTCGCAATGGGCTAGAAATGACTCCATGACACGCAACGAATAACGCCACCCCCACCCAAGGTGGGGATTACAACGACTCTGGACAAGAGAGCCACACCAAGCATTGGCACTTCAACACGGAGGGTGAAGACCCAGGAGTGCAGAGGTGCTGTCTCGGGCGTATGCCGTATGAAGATGCACCTGTAAGCCCAGGACCACCAGAGAACTCCTGGAGCTACCAGAGCTGGAAGAATCTTTCCCTCAAGAAGACAGAGAGCTTACGGCCCTGTCAACATCCTCAATTCAGATTCCCAGCCTCTAGAATTCTGAGGCAGTTCATTTCTGTTCTTATCAGCCACCCAACCAGTGCTGCTAGGAAAATAGAACAAGTATTTTAAAGCAAATCCTACTTTATGCCCTTTCACCCATAAAAACTCAGGGAAACATCCTTATCCTATACTGATAAATATTACTGAGGGAACCACCATGTTAATGTAAAAAGTCTTACAAGAATAAAAAGAAAAGTCTTAATATTATCTAGTATACCTCCCATAATTGAAAGGGCCGGATTTTCATAAGGTTGTCTTTTTAGGATTGTGTGGTAGTTACATAATCTGATGTCAATTTGAGACTATTAAGAGTGAAGAGGTCCCGTTTCACCTGTCAGTCAGGTCGTAGCATGATGACCTCATATGGAGGTACTCAGGACATAAATAGCTCACGGGAGGCCAGACCGCTCTCTCTGCTTTATATTCCTGATGACAAGCCACACAGCGCTACGCTGATGGAGCCAGAGCCTGGGAGCTGGAGGAGCCACGTGGAGACCCACGCCAGCACGGAGATGCTTCCACCACCACTGGATCCACAAGACTTTCCACCCACTGACTGTGGTCCTCCTGCATTCGGCATCGTTGCATGCCTGTGTGAGCTTAAAATGGAATTTATGGACTAGTATTGACATATGGGGTCATATTGGACAGTTGGACTTGATCTGGACTGGGCTGAGATACTTTCTTAATATACAACGGTTCTTTGATATAAAGGTCTCTCTTACACACATATGAGTTTCCTTGGATTTGTTTCTCTAGTCAACCCCGGCTAACCGGATTGAAACCAACAAACTTTGTATCAAGGGGCTCTGGTGGTAAAATGAGGACCTAATGTCGGGGGTTTAAATGGAGAGAAAATGTTTTGAGAAATGATGTACAAATGCGCTTTACACAATTGATGTGTGTATGGATTGGGATAACAGTTGTATGAGCCCCTAATAAAATGTTAAAAAAGAAAAAAAAAAAAGGGGGGGCTCTGGTGGTACGGTTGGTTCAGGGCTTGGCTTATAATGAAAAGATCTGTGATTCAACCCCACTGGCCTCTTCATATTAGAAAGATACAAACGTCTACATCCATAAAGCTTACAGTCTTCGAAACACCCTGGGGAAGCTCTCCTCTGTGCTACAACGACACTGTGAGTTGACATTGACTTGGCAGCAGTGGATGTGTGTGTGTGTGTGTGTGTGTGTGTGTGTGTGTTTGGATGAGAAGTTAAATAAGATCCGCATGATGCCCATTTGTTATGTTCTTTATGTCAGTGTATTCTACAATGTGCTCCCTCAATTCTTCCTAGGCTACTGAATTTACTTCAGCTGTCTCTTGAAGACAACGTATTTTCAACTACTTTCCCTAGTCTAAAAATCTTTGTCCTTATGGGTAGCCTTTAGTACATTGACATTTGATTTCATCTGATGTAAGCAGTAGAGGCGGCAGCAAGTGCTCACATGCTAGATGCACTTGGGGTTGCTGGTGGAACGTCGGGTGTAGTTAGCAACGAAGTCGCTTCTGGGTCCGCAGCATGAGGAGCTCCGTGGAACTACAAGTGGAAATGACGGGGGCAGCGACGCGAAACAACACGACGTGGCTCATCCGTCCATGGTCTGCAACTGGCACCAACGGACTAGGGGGGAGCGTGCAAATAAATGAGCCCTTTCAGAAGGAGGAGGCGTGAATCTCACAACCCCGAGAATGAAGAATCACAAGACTGGAGCTCAACCAGGGTCCCTGCACAGAACAATGGGAGCAGCAGTGGAAGTGTGGGATAACAGATGTGGGCTTTCTGTCCCACAGAAAGACTTAAATGAATTCCCTGCTGCAGAAGGCTGGTTTGGAGACTGGGCTGCTCTTTGGGCATCTATCAGCGTTGAAGGAGCTTTGTAATCATAGCCTGAGTAGAGCAGGGGCTAAGGGACCACCTGGGTAAGACTGAGGACCAGAGAGAGACATGCCTACTGGCATGGCTGAGATGAGGCAAAGAACTTAATGTTTTCTGATCTTGACTTGCAACCTCTTCATTTATCTAATAGCCTCCCACCCCTACTCATGAGTATTGCCTGTGATTTCTGTGTGGCCATGGCAATGAAGTGTCAAACTAGCAGGGAGTTTGAGTGCCATCGGATTAACAGCGAGTGTCAGGAGAGAGTAAAGAAGGTCAGATAATGGAGGCGTGTCTCACTTCTGCCTCACGGAGTCGTCTTGAAAGAGAGTGAACTTGGTGTAGCCGGAGGTCAGTTGTTTTCCCCATGCCATTTTGCTAAAATTTGCTAAATCTAACTTGCTAAAACAGTTTTTTAATAATAAATGGAGAAAAGATTTTAAAAAAAAATTTAAAAGCGATTCTATGTACTGTTTAGAGCATAGGTTCCCAAATTTATTGGACCTACTACCCCCTTTCTGGAAAAATTTAAAAAAACCCATCCCCTCAGTGCTGCCCTGCTAATTAAAGTTTTACTATATCCCATACTCCTGGATGAAGTATACTGATCTGATTTGCAATCCTCCTGGATCATTTCCGTGCCTCCCAGAGCACTTTGGAAAACACGGACTTAGAGTCTCTAGAGATTGTGTTAGGAGCAAACAAGTTAAGAAAGATTTGGTTAAAGCCAGGAGAATAGGCAGCATGTGAGTCACAACTGGCTCCCTGTTCTCCACATAAGCTCAGCTTGATGCAAGCTCTACTGTGGCAAGGTCTGAGGGGAAAAACACACATGTACCTGCTTCTACCTTTGGATCCCAGTCGAGTATTTCACAAGGAAAGGTAAGTAGCCTGCATTTCTCACATCTCAGTTGGGAATTCTGGAACCTGTCATTGTGCTTGTGTGGAATCTCTACAGGGACCAAAAGGAACTTGTTCGAACAGAACAAAGCAACGCCGTGTGGTTTAAACATCAGGAAAGTTGTGCATCAGGGTTGTATCCTCTCACCATAGAGAGCAAATAATCCAGGACACTGGACTATGGGAGGAAGAACTCAGCATTAGGATCGGAGGAAGGCTCGTTGAAAGACTGACATTCCGCTGGCTTGCTGAAAGTAAAGAGGACTGGGTGCGCTTGCTGATGAAGAACAAACCGCCTTCCCTCTGGATTCCTCAATGTAAGGAAAATAAAAATCCCCAACCTGGACCACTAGACACCATGATAAGCAGAGAAAAGATTGAACTTACCAAGGATGTTGTTTTACTATCAATAGCCAAGGAAGCAGCAGTCAAGAAATCAATGGACATATGATTTATTGCCTTGGGAAAATCTGGTGCCCCAAACTTCTTGAAGGTCTTAAAGAGCAGAGGACGGGTAGGGAAACACCCACCCACCCACCACCACCACCACCACCACCACCACCA